ATATATATATATATGTGTGTGTATGTATAAATATTGACATGTAAAATAATATAAATAAAATTCTATATTCTAGAATCTGAATTATAAATTGCGAAATATCATTTAAAATAGTAATTAAATTTTATGAATGACAAACTCAATAAAAAAAGAAACACTTTTCTTTCGATCAATTTACTTGCGAAGACAAAGAATGTCATAAATAAAATATCTAACATTTACTCTACTATACATCACTATAATTTATATTTAAAAAATTTTAAAGATAGATACCTGAGAGATCAAGAAAAACCATGGAAAAGTCACTGTTTAAAATCTTAATACTATACAGGGGGTATATTTACGATTTTTTCTCACAAATAAATAAATATAATAGCAAACAAGCTCGTTCTTCATTTAGATTTGCTAGATAAATTAAATTAAATACAAATTTATTATTCATACTATACAATGTATATTCCTCCTTCCGCTATCTTTGTACATATAGCAAAATTACATTCTTTGAATTTTTATTATATTTTACATGTACATACTAAAATCTGATTCCTCTAACATCGTACTTTTCATAAGCAAACTCTTCTTTATGGAAATTATCGTACTCCACTCCAATATAATCGATCTCTAATCTGAAGTGGCCGGAAATATCATCCGCTAACGATATACCGAAATTCGTAATCTCGTGTTGTATGATTGGCACCTGGTTATCTTGAACTCTGCCTTTACTCGAAAATACAAACTTGGAGAACGGTACTCTGACATATTGCCAATATGGTCCGCCTCTGGTATAGAGAACATAATGATACATATCGTTCCATGTCAAATCAAATATGCCTCTAGTAGAGAGATTCAGTACATAGCATCTGCCATCTCCTCTGATACGAAGGACGAGATGAGTATAATGTGACCAATCGAGGTAAGCATCTCGCTTGAAAGACTTTTGTTTAGGTATACTGGTCATGTTGCAATAACCAGCATACTTTATCCTGCCATCCTTGGGTAAACGAGTGCTTATCATGCCAGAAAATACACCAGTACCAATGGAAGACATCTCTAATCTAGAAAAAAATAGTAAAGACAATATATAGATATGTAATATTTGAAAATGTCCTGGTGAACAATTTCATATGATTAATCAGAATGTAAATTTCAGAATTTTTCAGAATTTCTGATTATCTAATTGCATAATCTTTTAAAATATTTCTCGGATGTTTTATGCAAATTGGAATATTTTTCAGAAGTGTCTAGAAAGTCTACATCTTTCCTAGAATTCTGAAACATTCTAAGATTTCTAAGATTCCTCACTCTCTAATTTCTTGTCTAAAATCTTATGAAAAAATTTAAGGTATTTTTTCAGAAATTATAAAATAAGAAGTTTCAGAACCCATATATGAACAATTCTAAGAAAAAAATATAGATACTTTGTCAGTATCTCTGAAAAATGTTCCAGAGTTGTATCAAAAATTCTAAAAACAATTTTTACATTTTTGTGATATAAAAATATAATATTAGATACATAAAATTTAAACCTACTTGACTGTTGAAAAACCTTCATTGTAATCACTATCACATGTAATGATCCATTGATTCAATGACTTTGGATCGCCCTTAAATCTCCATACAACGTCAACTTCGTTTTGCCTGTACGTAAAAATAGGATCCATTCTTAATTTCTCTTTCACTTCTTCCATTAAAATACCAAATTCTTCTTTGAATTGTCGATATCCTTCCCGTATTTTACCAAAAATACTCAAATTTTGTTCTGGCGGTAATCTGTCATACACTCTTTTATAACCTGACTTTCGATCAGGTTCGTAAAAACATGGCAAACTCGAAGTCATATGCAGTTTTCTTCTGCCAATCGCAAAATCTATTAATATTCTGCTAAGAATTCGCATATTCATGTTTGTTTGAGATTATGTACTGTTATATACAAAGATTGTAGGTTAGATTATCTTCTATCTCTTTAAATTCATTTTTTTCATTAATTTTTACAGCACCTTTACTTTACAGCACTTTAAGTATATACAGTGTTTGTACAATATATAATAACTTCTTGTTTATAATTCTGCAGAAGATCAACAAGCTAGTTTTAAATAATCTTGGTAATCTTAGTAGAAAATCCCATCATTCCTATCACTGACCCTAAATTCAAAAACTTCTTGATAGCAGAAAGCAGCAGAGAGAAATTTGAGACAGGACATGATGGCCTAAAACCTGTAACTGCAAAATGTGCACTACTGCTCTCTGACAAAGTAGATACAAACTACATAGCAACGTCCACTTCTCTTACGGTACATTATCCATTTTGAAAAGGGGACGATGTACCATAAGAGAAGTGGATGTTGCTATGTAGTTTATATCTAATTTGTTAGTGCGCAGCAGCATTTTGCGGTTATAAGTTTGGGCTATCATGTCTTCTTTCTCTCAGGTTTCTCTCTGTTATTATAAGTAATAGTATTATAAGCTTGTTTTCGGCTGAACTTTTGTATTATATTAGTTTATCTTTCTTCCTTTTCTCTCCAGAAGGAAAGAAGAGGAAGAAAGAGGAACTGTAAAGTTCAGCCAAAAAGAAGGTCTAATTTTTATATAATAAGAACAAACATGCAAAATACGATTCTATACGAGCTCTTCTAACAATTTAAAAATATCATATAACAATGCAATTAAAAAATCCAATTAATAACTCAAAAATGTCATAGGAAAGTATAAATTTCTACGAGATAGAAATTCAACTGAACAGATATTACTGGATCTTAGTTTAGCTACAACTAACTGCAAATTGTAAGCCAATTTTTCATACATTTCATACAATACATACTAGATGTTTTCCAGCAT